CCAGCAGCAATCATTCTTCTACACAAAACTTGGAACAATCTCCAGGACTGCTGAGGGCCGTAGAGGCAACCCGAACGCTGTCACGCAGGGGGGGTCATTGGGATGTTTGCAAGTCTTCTTCTCAGAATTCCTTGTCGTCGCTCGGGCACGCAAAGAGGTCTTTCGAAGTTGTATGGGAGTCAAGGAACATAGCGTGTCTGCCCAATCTCTGTATATTGTTGGGAAAGAGCAGCTGCTACAGGTAGCTCTGCATCGAATCTTAGTTGGCTAAGTGCTGAGCTACCAATATGTTTAGGGCTCTCAAAATGCACTTTCACGGCTGAGCCTCAGAAAGCTTGCGGCCCGATGACGGTCCGTTCAGGCATGGACTGCTGCTCGGATGGGTAGGCCTTGGATCTGAGCTGAACCGTAAGAACCGTTTTTTCTTACTCATCCGGAAAGGTGTGTGTTGATAAGACTTGCAATGGGGCTACGCTTTATAAGCCTTACACTTTTCTATAACCGTAGACGCAGAATTTCCAAGATTCGATCAGAAGCCATGCTATGACGTCGGGGACCAGAACTCCGCAGAAACAGCAGACACAACTCAACTGGTCATGTCAAAAGCCTAGAATCCTAATCCTCCAATCATAGTCAAATACCCAAATCGCTTTTCAACATTCAACTAGGAATGAGCCAGGCGGCGGGGGCACCCCCTGAGGGTTTCCCGCTGCAGGCCCGGCGCTGGAAAGATTGGCGGCCGGGGGCCTCCACATGAAAGGGCCGTCTAAAGGCATCAGTTTGGGTCCCTGCTGCTTTGGAAGACACGTTCTTCTGTGCTGCACTGGCCATCTGCCATGTGCTGTGGCTATTTTTGCTGCTTTTCACAGTCAAAAAGAAGGAGATTGAGGGCTTGGACTGTAGAGATTGATGGTTGGGGAAACGCACGAGCGTGGTGCTTTATCGAAGCGAGTTTGGCTTCGGGTGCCCTCCATAGGCCGCAAAACCTCGCCATCTCCCCATGTCTTCAGGAAGAGTTTGCTGGTGCAAGGAGAAGGGGAACCTGAAGGATGGCATTGACCTCGAATGATAGCCATTGGGCTGCAGGGATTTGGGTCCAGCTCAAGCTTGTGAGCATTCGACTGGTAAAGTTATTTATGACACGCTTGGCTTTGCATGCCCCAAAACCCGGACTTTCCTGAACAGCCGTGGGACACGGCACATGTTGGTTCCTGATTAGTGTAGACGGCACCTTCCGCACAAAAAGTGCTACCACAACAGAAATGTAGACGCCAGGTTTATGGTATACTGTGCCCCGACAACCCGCTCCAGTAATTCAGGCACCCTCATTCTTCAAGAGGGAGGCTCAGGCATGCAGGATCCGAATGATTCCGCTGAAGCTGAAGCTTTGGACTTGTTTGAAACCCCAGATCATTCGCGGGGTGCTGAACAATTTTCAGAAACCTCGCAGTCCTGCTGCAGCAGCAACCCCACAGCCTCGATTCTGAACCCCAAGCCGCCAAATCTGTGCACGCCAAAGTCGAGACCCTGATCCCCGGTTTCGCAGAAGGACTCAAAGCAGCTAAGGAGAGTGCAAGGCCCGGCTGGAAGTGTATGAGGACGCAGATGTTCTCGTCACATCGATCTCGTCGCGTGACCTCCAATACTGGGATCTGATCTCATCTGATTGCAAGGGAATTCTGAGGGCTTACTTTGCCAAGAATGCCAGAACAAAACTGTACAGATTTAAGAAAGCAGCGGGATTATTCCCCATCTCCTCCAACGCACGGAAAAGAGCAGCGCTACGAACAGCACACAGAAATGCGAAATCCTGGAGCATTCATGACAGAGAGATGCTGTCAAGCCACCGAGGGGTCTCTAGGCACTTTTCACTTTTCGTAGATGACGACCCGCGTCAACATCATCCTATTGCATGCAAGGTGTAAAGTCTGCCAGCACACTGTCAGGTGTCCCCTACCGATTCGTGCCTGAACCCGAATGAACCCAAGGATATTGCAATTGCGTGCTGAGATCCAGTCTTCGGCGTCACTCCCAGGCTTGACCAGCCCCGCAGGGATGACCTGCAGCAAACAAAACTTATGTGTCAGGTTTGGGTGGGGCTATACAAGATAAGTGCAGCCAATTTGCCAGGTTTCTCCCCACATGCTATAGAATAATGGTACATCATGGTACCACAACAAGCAGCTCTTAAGAAACGCGCGAAACCATAAAAGCCCCTCAAACCCACGGCATCCTGAACTGCATAAGCCTAAATGCCAGCAAAAGCCTTACAACTCAGGACCCCAAACTTACTAGAAACCTGCAGATGCCAAAGTCGTCAACTACGAGAAAGGCAAGGGTGAGGGAGCATCCGTTTTTTGCGTTCTGCCTGGCCTCAGGGACGTCTCAGAGCCTGGGCAATTATGGGACGTTGCAATTAAGGTCAAATGGCACTAGGATTTGTAAACTTTGGGGCTGGAATAAGCCTCGCATTAACTTGCCTGCAAAACGTGGTTCGGCCGTCCGGTCTTCAGAGTTGGATGGGGTCGGATGCACCTTTATTGCTGTTGGAAGACGCTGGGGGCCAGAACGTGCCTGCAAACTCCTGCCAGGTTGTCTCCATCCATGGACGAAGATGAAGCGTGCCAGCAGAAGTCAGCAGCGAGCAGCAGAACTTGTGGAGGCAAATTCTACCGACTGCCAACTTTGTATGTAGTCCTAGCCCCAGGTCAGGAGCACTGGCGGAGATAGGTTTGAAGGAAAGTTGTTGAATATTGAAGTGTGAGCCGAACTTTGGGCTTAAGCCCTAAGCATGCACCTATAGATCGTCTCTGTTCTTGGTGTAGCACCTGACCGCGAGGCATCGTCCGACATGGCAGGGCAGCACGGGTTTCGGCGCCGTCAACACGTACCCTATGGCTCCAAGAGCCTCTGAAGACCCTAGTCCACGCCCGCAGCATGCCAATCTTTATGGTAATCATAATGCTTGCAACAATACTGGGTCCATAGACCTGATCTTGACAATGCAGAGCCTTTTGGAAGACCAGTGCTGGAACCTGTCCTGGGTATTAGTTGATGCTTGCAGAAATAAGAATGTTCAAGGGCTGAGTCTAAGTGCTTAAGCAGCAAGCCATTCCGTACGTGTACCTCTCCTAAAGCCCTGATTACATCAGAACTTTAGCTGTCTTCTGTCTTCAGACACTGATACCTTGGACGCTGGAGATCACGTCGTTGTGCTGAATGCAAGATCCAGGCTAAGAGCCGATCCTCTACAGTACAATCAAACCAAGCTTTCAGGATGGGCGGAGGGCTGCGGGTCATGTGCACAGTGGAGTGTGCAGAAGAGGTCCACATTTAGACATTTTCAGACATAGTGAAAAGGATTTCCCGGCTGAGGGCACCAGCTAGGAAAGATTGCCTGAATTGGGGCGTGGAAGACCCCGGCTTGCCGTCTGACTTCAGGCTTCCTGCGCTGCCCTATTTGATGGTTCGAAAGGCAATGTTGTGAGTACGGGAGGGGTCCCACTTTAGCTTCATCCCGACCGACGTGCTTACACTTCTGCTTCCTTGCATGCCATCTGCTCATAATACAAGACCTACAGGCATGACGCTGGATAGGCGAGCAACGGCTAAATCCTCTACAGGTACGCAACCATAACACCTTATGTTTTCACGGGACCGATGATTTAGTACATGGATGTGCTGAGGGCGGACCTGTTGCGCCTACTACTGCAAAATCCTCACGCAACACTACATCCATGACCCTCCATACACCAAGCAATAAGCTGCACCTTCAATCTAAACCTCCTCAACACCGAAGACGGCATGAAACCCAATTCAAGGCATAGTGATCCTCGGGATGCTAGTTCTGTCAAATTCTGATCACCCGCGCCCTGTCCTGGACTACCTATCGCCGGAATGCAATGTGGAGCGAAGGCTGCAGATCAATGGGTAACAGCCATCAGGAGAAGGATTGCCCAAAGTGAGCACACTCTGCTTTTGACGCTAACATCACATGCGCGAGCTTTGGAGCCTGTGTCGTGCTAGGATGGAGGGATGGAGGAATGGGCCCCATTTTGGCGGGCCAGAGTTTAGGCTGCCTAGTTGAGATGTGAAATTCGGTCTTACAGTGTAGGATTGGTGGCTTTTTGCATCACCAAGTCCGAACTAGAAGCGAGTAGATCCGGATAGGTTGTCCGCCGCTATGGCTTCGGGTCCAGGAACTTGGAATGCAGAAGTCACGTGCACATGCCTTCTGCCATGTGCCTGGCGAACCCTGACAAGGTCCATTCCATCTGCGGGTCGAGCAGGGCCTCTGGGTCAGCAAATGAATCATCCCTGCCGTTTCTTGCAGAGACTGCACTTCAGGTTGCTGGGTGAGCTTATGATACCCAAGGATCACACACTGTCTTACAAGAAACTCTCCCATCCAAGCACACTCCATGAACAAGCTTAGCTTCTCGCCCTTGTCGCAAAGCTATGAAGTGCCAGCTGCGCAGAGGCCCTGGCTAAGCCTGGACTCTTAATCCTCATGCAATGGCAGTTTCTGCCGACATGCGCTATTCAACTAATGTAAAAAGCCCATGCCTCGGCCGCGTAACCTCCAAACACGTCTCTGCTCAAAACCCGTGAAGCTTGTGGAATGCATGTAATGTTGGCCCAACAAGGAACGGAAGGTACCCCGCTCAATGTGTCAGATCTTACAGTCACGTGACAGGAAAGCCAGTGAGGAAGCTTGAGCTACTCAAAAGAATGAGCTGGGCTACTCAAGTAATTAGCTACGTCAGGCATGACATAGAACATCCAAGAAGCAACACTGCGCGTGTAATCAGTTGGCACCTCAAAAGTGTTGAGCGGTGCCATGCAAGTTGAATGTTGCGCTATTCGTTCGGAACTGCCATAGCCCAATCTGGGATGTCCACAATATTCATACATCTCAAGCCTTGCACCCGTAAAGCCTATCTGAAACTGTCTGAAACTGCAATCTCTGTGCCATAGCTAATTTCATGCACCCTCGGCGGTCATCTGAATCCCATGGTCCTGAGCTAAGAGGGATTTGCAGCTTTGAGATTCGTGCTTGTTGCATTATTTCTCAAGGCTTCCGGCGAGGAAGTTCTAGACCTGTAACCTGTCTCAGCTGGCGAAAGTGACATCACAAGGAGCATGAGGCTGCGCATTCCTTCATGGAAGCCAGGCTACTAGGTAAAACCGGTCTTTTGAGGCATTGGAGGCTGCAGTGCTGACAGCCTTCTCGCCCTCTCCCCATCGGGTAACAAAGGCTTGGGAACTAGACAGCTACCCGTTGAACTTGCAGTCTCAACGCTACAAGCCTTTGCAACAATAGTTCTCATTAAGCAACAACAAGAGCCCCTTTTCTCAGAGCTTGAGGTAGGGATAGCCAAAAGCATCCGTCCAAACAGTGAAGACCAAACCTTAGCCTCGTGGTTACCACCAATGAAAACAACTTGAGTTCTGTTCGGGAACCGGGACCTTGCGTTGCAGGCACCCGACTCCGCAAGAGAAGCAGCATTCTGCATAGGAGTTGTAAAGTTCAGGATTTGCATGGTTTGGGCAGGATGGAGGAGCAGAAGGTCACTCCTTTGACCAGGATCAATGCCTTCTTAAAAGATCTTGAGAGATGCACAGAAAAGCAGCCAAGGCTTTGTTTGTGACCTCAAAGCCATCCTAATTGCTGAGCCTCAAGCCCCTCAACGTAAACCCATCCTGCTCCCCAATTTGGAGCCACAAGCCCTGGTCTGCATCTGAGGCCCGCTGCGGGAAGGCCGAATAAGTCGAGCTCAAGCGATCTGCCCGCAGGCTTGGGATTGGGGTAGGATTTGGGCACGAGTGCGATGCACGGTTCAGAGACGTTGAGGGAGTGACGCAAACGGGCTGGCAAAGAGTGTGTAGTGGCAGGTTCGTGATGTGCCTTTGTCAAGTACGCCCCGAGCTCAGGTTTAATATCATGATAAATACATCAGGCGAACACAAGCGAACACAAGGGCTTACGAAGAAGCTGCGGCGTGCAATAGTGGGCAACCCCTCCATTGCTTCCGATTTGCCGGAACTTCCAGATGACCTAGTTAGATACTCACATCTCATGCCGGTGGCTCGTGTAAGCTGCAGGAAAGCCTTGCCACCCCATGCATTCTGAGCACCTGGATGGGAGCTCCACAGATGAGAGGTGTTTGTTGGTGGCTGAATCAAATAGAATTTTTTCTGCAGGCAAACGATAAGAATATCTTACTCGGTACCGTCAGACATTTCAAATTTCAAGTGTCCTAGGTCTATAGGATGCGGCCGTGCTTCAGTGAAGGACTTATGCTCGATTGCTGCTCCATCAAGTTAATGGGTCCTCACATCGACTACTTTGTGGGCGAGTCTTCCGGCGATTGGCAGGCGTCATGGCCACCAGACACTAGCAATGCTCATGACCATGTGTCTGCGCGTCAATTCATGCCACCAACCAATGGTAGCAGCACCCTTCAAGGGCAGGAATTGTGCCAATCGCCGACCTTGCCTTCTGCAGCGTAGGCTGTGGACCCATGCCTGGCCGTGAGCAAGATGCGGAATGCACAGACAACACGTGCTCCCAGTAGTACATACTCTGCTCAAATGAGAGGTTCGCTGTGATGCCAGTTGGAGGTGCGGCGCTTTTGGAATGCTGTGTATGTCCACAGGCAAAGAGGTGAAGGTCATCTTTCATGGCGCCTGAAGGATGCAGTGACTTGCTTATGTAGTGGTGCGGTCCAGTGCGGTCAGTATACAATAATGCTTCGCAAGGTTTTCTTGTGCGCACATGCACGGCTGGTTGGATGAAGATGTCTGGGGCTTTGGGGGCTTCAAGGTCCCGGACTTCAGCTAACCGTGCCTCGAAGAATTTGAGGAGCTGATCAAGCCCTCAACCCTCGACTCTCAACTCCAAGCTGAGCGTCTAGACCTCAATTCCCGGCCGAGCCCCTGGCTGATTGAGCACCCTGAGCAAGTGTTCGATTTGGTTTTCCTGCCACTTCGAGTGGAACATGGTGTGAAATGTTTGAAAGCACACGAAGATGAGGATGAAGAGAAGGACAAGGAGGAACTAAGTGTTTGAATGCGCACGAAGATGAGGAGGAAGAGAACTGGACAACTTCAACCGCCTCTCTGATGCCAAGGAGCAGAAGAAGAAATGTCGTCATAACCATTTAACGTCTAGAACATTTTGAACATCACAGCACTTCATCCATGCCTTGAGCTCCAGCTGGCGGTCTTTGTCCTCGAGCTCGGTCCTGACCACTTGACCACTGGAATGCACTTTTCGGGTCATGGCCCTCTTTACCGGGCTGAAGCATGTAGCCATTGGCTAAGGCCGTTCTGAACAATGTCTAGGATGGCTATAACCCAGCCCTGCAAGGCAGGCTCTGGTATACGCAAACATCCTTTCCATGCAGAGGTCGACTCGACCGAACCCTATATCACGCGTTATCTCCCGACACCTTCAACTTTGAAATCTTCAACTTGGTACTCCAAAGTACTTCTCTATAATGCAACACGCCTTACCCATGACGTTGAAGGGTGTACCATTGGCGGTTTTTTGGTGTTTTGCAGATATCTCGGATCTTTTGCGACCCAACTCATAACACGCCTGCTGCATGTTCAACCAATATGTACACAGTGCAAACAAGCTCCCATTACTCGGGCTAATTTTGCTCAAGGTTCTCTAGGTATGCAAGTCTCTGACAATCAGTTTCACCCTATTCACCACCAAGGCCTATAGTCCTGCCTATGCGCCCTTGAAAGCCAAGAATTCATTCAAAAAGGGACATTTGACTTTCGACCAAAGCAAAGCAGGTTAGCTTTTGCCCACACGCCTGAGACCGCGCATGGCATCCTCCGAGCCAAGAACCTTGTACAACTTCGTCATGGGCGGAGGGGACAATGGTAGATTGTACGGGAATAGCGGTAGTAGAGACGAAGTTTAGGTTTGTAACGTTTGTTGGGTTTTGGAGCTGGGACATGGTAAGAGTAGATCTGCATTTGCGAAATATCGTGAGGAAACATCACGTCTCTTCTTCGTGCTTCTTCCCCAGGCATATGAATCTTTGGAAGACTGGACGCCAAGCTGTTTCAGTTCAGTCTGCTGTGGCAGCCTCTGCCGATGTTGCCACAGGTCCTGTTCAGGGGCTTACTGCACCAAGCAGTACCACCACCACCCCATCCGCTGCTGCCCCCCTTCTCTTTCTGGTTGGTTGTGCCGGTAGAGATTGCCACAGAGCTCGTAAGCCTGATGAAGCTGAAGCAGCCATAGAGGCCATCATTTTTGCGTGGTGAATCTCTGTGCAAGCCTCAGGACCTCAACATGTCGGACCGCCTACATTCACGGGCTTACGCTGGCATTCTATTGGAGGGGTGATGGCGTCATGGGATAAGCCGGAGTTAGGGCAGTGCTCCATGGCAGCTGCCCATGTCAGCGTGGACATGTTAAAGCCGTGAACCTGAAACTCTGAGGGCCTGAAGTCTGGAGATCAATACCCTAGCTCGCTTCATGCAAGGCTTCAGCCCTACGTTCAGCCTGGAATCATGTTCTGCCCGGCTGCTCACCTGGTTCCAAAGCAACAAGCCTTGAATCCCATGATCCTTTACCATCACAGCCTCAAGATGAAGGATCCGAATCCTCAAGCTCTTCTGCTGAGTGCTGTGCATTGCTGGAGTTGCCATCCATCTGTTGTTGCACCTGTTTGAGGGGACATCCGCCAGAATGCGATTGTCAGCATCTTGTTGCTGACAAGCCTGATGCCATTCACAAAGATCATTGTGATCTTGATTCACCTGCTTGGAAAGAACACTAGGCCAAAGCCTGGATACCTGCACGCCATAGCATTCAACAATCCATGTTCATTATGACCAGGAACCGGCAATGAATCTGAATGTTTGACTTGGAATTGACAAGCCACAATCCACGAGCTGTTGTTTTGCTAGACATAGTTGCGGCTCTCGCGAGGCGACGCTGAACTGAGGAATTTGGAGACTTGTGCGGGTTTTTAAAGCATGCTAATGGTAAACATTTCATGATAACAGTAACTATCATAGTCACTGCAGGGCACAGAACGACATCAAGATTGCAAGAGCAACGTAAAATGTGACAAGGCCTCCTGGAGCTCGGCGTCCCGCTGCTCCAGCTGACGTTCTGCCACCTCACAGGAGCTTCATCACTGAAGTTCGTTAGGCCGAGCTGGGCATTGAGGGCTCCCCAGGCCGCCTTTCACACTTTGTAGGAAAATGTAGGAAACAAACAGGGGTACATAAGTTCAAGGGGTGACAGTAGGGCGTGCTGCAGCAATCCGGATGCTGCCTTGCTGCGTATGTCTCAAACGGGGCTTGCGGGCAACGTCCGCCACATTGACATGGCTCTCGCATCTGACTATGCGCAGCATCTTCATCAGGGGTAGGAAGCTTGTCATTGCATGCATGCCATCCTTTCGCCTTACGCTCGGTACACCTGCCCTCTTGTCCTTTCATCATGTTCGCCTGGATTTTGCCACAGACCTCCAAACCGCCGCCTTGCTCTTTGGCCTACAATACGTCCCAAGCCAGAATGTCTAATCCCTTCTAATGTCTAGTTTCGCTCTTATTCTCAGAGGCCACCATATCTAATAGGCTCCGAGGGGCCAAGGTCACGTCCCTGAACCTTCAATCCAAATCCCATAGCGAAATTGCCAGAGTCTGCCTGCAACGCAGCTTCCTTGCCATCAAGCTCGTACTCAAGGCATAGAACCTCTGGTGCTGGGAGGACAAGAGCAAGTGTGACCCAGATTGCATCTTGAGAGCCGGGAGTTCAGGGTCACGGAGTTTGCCTACCTCCTGGTGAAATTGTAAGGAAATCTTTTCATGCTTTGAGTTCATTCACGTTGCAAGAGGGATGTTGTTGTGTCATACTGTTCATTAGGCGACATCGCGGCTAAAGAGCATCTCATGAGTCACATCGAGCCATCGCAAGCCGCGAAGGCATGCAAAAGGCCAGGTCTGATAATACCCAAAACGCTCAACAGCTGAGATTTGAGATTCTGCAGATCCACATCGTAAAAACCAAAACTCCTTCGGGTGAGGACGAAAGAGGTTCCATTCTCCTGGGCCTTGAAATTTCAAGGTTCCAATCTTGAAGCACAAGGTTGTTGCGCAGGTAGACTTCTGCAGGTTACAAAGCTAGCTGACATTGTGAAGGGCAGCTGTGGCTGCCAAGATTAATCCAGGGATCACCTTTCGCATCTTGACAAGTCAGATGCTCTCGAGTGGACCCTCAAAACAGCGGCCAGCGGAGGCACTTAAGAAGCCTGGACCTCCTTGAGGTCCACCATGTCTGTAAAGTATTACTTCAAGCATGAAAACTACAGTGAGCCCCCCAGGAACGCAACTTGTGACCCTTCTTTTTAAATCCCCATACTTCTTACCACACTGACCACACGGAAATTTTGCGGCTGAGTTTACTAAGCCAGACCCTGTACTCAAAAACTCAAAGATCAAGCCCTGAACCGCAACACTGCAACTATGAAAAACTGGCAAACATCTCCTGTTGAGACAAGTGCCTGCTGCTGTGTGGCTTCGCGCTTCATCCGCTCCTGTGCGAGCTGCTTTTCGGCCTCCTTCGCAGACTTGTGCACAGGGACAAGGCACAGTATTGCAACGCGAAATGCAAAATCACATTAAATCAGATTGCACGAGCTCTGCTTAATGGATTGGAAAGCACGGTTCAAGCCATGCAAACTTCAAAACGTCAGGAAGTAGGTTTCAGGGCTTGGGGATCAGTTTTTGGAGGCTTTCAATTTGGGTTCGATGAAATTTGATGGTTCACGGCGTCCAGTGTAGTACTTGTTCATCGAAGCTCAGATGTCGGTTCCGGCTTCACAGGAAGCAAATACATGACAACTTCGTCGACTACCTCTCGCAACGCTCTCTCCCGCTTTAAAAGTCTTTGAGCGCAGCGTAGACTTCTATGCGCTTAGTGAGATTTCTTACTTTGGGGAGAATGTCCGTTCAGGAGAATCTCATGTCTGCCGTGGGAAGGGCGGGTAACATCATTGGACCCTAGTGACTCCGAAGTGCGTGGAAAACCCATCAAAGTCAGAACCCTTCCCAGAAACGTAAACCAATTCTGAAAGCTTGAAGCTGCCGGTCCCCTCAACCCCGATTCACACCACAAATGCAGGCAGCGATCTTCAAAGCCTTTAAATCAGTCTGACTTTCCTGGCAGGTGCCAATGGTACGGCATACGATTTTCAGGCCATTGCAAGAAGGTCTGGAATTGGAGTTGTCGACACGAACATTTCAGGCTTGGGGGCCCTGATGAGAACTGCACACCTCTAACCCCAAAATCCCGAATACCAATATATTTCTACATCCATGAGGCCATGACGCCCTGAACCCACACGCACCACAAAACCACTACCAACGCACCCCCTAACTGTCATAAGGTCCTGCCGCAGCGTTCGCTCATTGTTGAGGCGTTCCAGGGTGGTACTATCCATCTCTGTCTGAGCCTCAGGGTCAACATTCATTCGTTTGGGATGGGGATTCCAGGGGACGGGGCGGTGTTGTGAAGTTGTGGAGGACGGCGACATCGCTGGTAGCTGCTGGGCTTGTATTCAGGTCTGCAATCTTGCGTGTTTTTAGAGTTTTGTCAAAACCCGATACTTGTAGTTGGTGCGACGAAGCAAAGAAAATTATGGCTTGACAGCTGCTCTTCTTCCAACAGGCAAAACTCAGATGTCTGCGAGTATCACTTCCTCGAACCAGCACCATTTATGGACGTGTAAATGCTGTGCTCCGGCTAGATCTTTGTTGAGGCACGAGACTGCCCAAGCACTGCTTGAATACTGGCTTTCCGCAGACGTCCACTCAAACCTCCTCCAGAACAAACCCTTGCTTGGTTGCCGTGAGCGCCCAAGCTCAACTGCCTCATGCTCAAAGGAGGATACGGGCGGCTAGAGCCCGGTACCTCCCCCCTTTGCACATGAAACCCTCGCCGAATGGCGCCTGTTTGAAAAGCCTACGACCCTGCAGAAGAAAATCAGACTTTTATCGTCAATCAGAGAGAGAATATACACGATGAATTGCTTGAGTGCCTTGTCCTTCAACCCCTGAAAACATCATGAGATGGAACCCTGACATTTCACTGGACTGCCTGACTGAAAAACTCATGCGAACCTGCAGATCGGTACCTTCCATAAACCCGAGAAAGACCTGCTGCTACCATACCAAACCGATACGCGATTGTAATCAGGCCTTGTAAATCCTGAATCCTCCTGATGAATGTCACGCCTGCCCTAGTCAACCCCACCGCCGCCTTGGAAGCTTTAAGAGCCTGCTTAGCAAGCAGGTCAATTCGCCGGAGAGCCTGCGAAAGAAGGTGTGGAAAAAGTCAGGGTAGCAAAGGTTCGACAATGCATTCCTTCATCGAGCATGATCGAGTTTCGGAATTGGACATAACGCAACCCCGAAAAGCACACGTCCTACGAGGGCCACTGCACTTGTGTGTGAATGTACAGAAGTCTGTCCCGCCTTGGCGTGAGTTATGTAGAACTTTGTCAAATAGTACTGGACTGGGATTTTGGCGATGTTGTATTTGCCGATGTTTCGGATGTGGCTGTCTGTGATTAACTTGTTCCCCCCTTCAGGTCGAGGGGTGGTGCCTTGAGTTACAGGCACTGCCCCCACACGCCAAGGGGACAATGATTGAGTCTGTGCAGCCTCAAGGGAATAAGCTGAGCTTTGCTTTGTCCCTTAGTCTCGCTGCCGGTGCGTGTGTGCGTGTGTGTTTGGTACGACCACCCCATGCCCCATCTCTGAGACGGTGCCCCCAGCTTACTACCCTCGTGAGGGATCACAGGGGGAAGAGCTTGTGTTCCCGAGAAGTGGGCCGTCCTGTCAAGTGCCCAAATCCAACCCAAGCTCAGCTTGGGGGGG